CCATTGCCGCGCCCTCGCTGCTCTTGTTCGATTGTGGCTCGGAGCTGCTGTAGGAGGAGTCGATCTTGCTCGACCTTGGCTTGAAGCTCACGGAGCTGCTCTAGGTCTATCGTCCGAAGTTGCTCGGGGTGGGGACACTGCTGCCGCCATTGGCGGGACCCGTGCGTGGTGGTGTGGCGTTACGCGCCTTCCTCCATCGTTGCCCGTGCTTTCGGCATTCCGAGTCCGGCGTGGAAACACTCACGAGTCGGGGGTCATAAGCGTCCCCCCCGTCCGGAATCGAGTAGCCAGCGATGAGTCGCTCGCGATCATGAAGCGGCGCATCACCTCGTGGTCGCGGCCCGAGAAGTTCTGCTCAACCCACGCCTCGTCCTCCTCCGAGAGAGTCGAGTGGGGTGGATTGGAGTTGTGACTATGGGGTTATGGGCATGACGTTGATGAATGGAGACGAGGGCGGTGGCGTAGGAGGCGGCGACATTGGTCAGCCCGAAAGGGTACGGGGATGGTGCCGTCGCCAGGCTCTGCTCCACCAGAGCTGGCTCCTCAGGAGGAGGCGGGACAGAGCTCGATGATGGGGCCTCGCTGCGCGCCACCGGCCCTTTTCCCCTATCGAGGCTTAAGCCGGATAGGTCCCCGCGCAGGGACTCTGTGCCAGAAGCGGGGTATGGGATTCCGGTGGAGCACAGATCGGCGTTCTGTACTTGCACGGTGTTAGGGTGGACTTGCCCGTGCGGCGCTTTGCGAGCTTGACGGGAGCGGCGGCCCGGGCGCCGTCTGCGCGTGGGCTGCCGGTGCATGACGTCATCGTCGGTTGATGGCGCTCTGGGTGAGAGGAGTACCATGTCATACTCGTGCCCTAGAGACATGAATTCTAGGCTCCTGAACCAGACGATCGTCCCGAGACGCAACGATCGCACGGGATCTGCCATCTGGAATCTGGTGGGATGACTAAGCTGACACGCAGAGGCCCCTACCTGGCGCGCCAACTGTCGGTGTTTCGGAACCGGGGGTCCTTGACCGACTAGTGAATTTGTGCTATGTGCTCCCAATTCCGGATGGTGATGCAAAGAGACACAAGGTTTATACTGGTTCAAGCAATGGATGCCCTACGTCCAGTCTGAGAAGATGTTCTTGTATTCCTTGCACCGGGGTGCTCGTAGTAGGGGGTTACAAGCTAGGCGAGAGAGGGAGTTCGTCTCAGGTCTCTATGAGGGGAGGTGATATGAATTACAGAATGAGGCGTGTTGTTCGTGCGAGTATTCGTGACTCTATCCGTCGTCGTCCCTAGAAACGGTCCTGGCTGCCTCCTTTTATAGCCACAGGGAGGAAACCAGGAGTACATCAAAGAGCTACACGTGGAGCAAGGACTATTTGATGACGTATTTATTCCTGGAGCAGCATGGCGTTGTCGTGGAAGTTCTCGTAGATGTCTAATCGGTATGGTCTCCACTGCAAGTAACATGCTGCACATTTGTTGACTTGGTGGATTGCAGAGGCTCGGCGGCCATCGTAGCCGGTCGTGCCGAGGCCTGTTGTGCCGAGGCCTGAGAAGTGACCCAGGCCTGAGAAGTGACCCAGGTGCAGGTGCGGGTCTCAGTGGCCATCAGGCGGAACAGTGCGAGACATGCGCCTATAGGATACAGTACCTGTGTTGTCAGTAGGGATGGTAAAAAAGGTGATCTGACCGTTGTCCCGTCGCTCCTGTTGCAGCGCACTGCCGATCGTGGCTTACGTAGTGGGTGCGGCTGAGCGCATTAATCGGATGTGACAGCCTGCCAGAGAGACTTTTGAGGCGGAGGCGACGAGGTTGTGGGACGAGCCCGGCCTCGGGCGAGGCGGAGCGCGGCCAATTCGTCCGAGGCCCTTCCGAGGGGGTCTCGGGCGAGGTGGACGGGCGAGGCGTAGTAAGATCAGTGAATCCGAGGCCCTATCGAGGGGGCTCGGGCGAGACGGAGTGGTCGGTCTGCTGATTCCGAGGCTACAGGAACCCGTTCTGACTCCCCACGTTGCGATGTCCTTGGTGCAGGAGTTAGGCAGCACAGTGGTCGGTAACCCCTGCTCTGTGCCGTCTCAGATGGCAGGAGGTTGACGCGACCGGCGTGTAGTCAGTCACTTCGCTGTACTGTGCCATCGTGCGTCTGTCGGAGTGGTTGGGCGCTTGGATGTGATGTTCGGTCAGAGCAGTTTGGTCGAAGAGGCGGTCACGGGGCTGGTGTCGAGCCGGCCTCGCGTGAATCGGAGAATCGGCACTTCTTCTGAGGCCCCGGGCGAGGGGGCCTCGACGAGGGGGCCTCGACGAGGCGGTCTTGGGCGAGTCGGAGAATCGTTTGCTTCCGCTGGGGCTCGGCGACGGGGTCTCGGGCGAATCGGAGATTTCAGCCGAGACCTCGTTTGTTTATTCCGTTGGTTCTGTTCTTAGGGTCTAAGCAGTTTTTTGATCTTTGCTTGGGGTACCCCATTTTCTGGTATCTGACACATACATACATTAAAAGAGGTGTTGCTTATATATTCCATGCATTTTTTCGTTGTTTTTGTACCATGTAGCATGTTTCATTTCCTTTTTCCATATTCTAATGTTGTGTCATCATTTTCACAATTGCAGCATGGTGCACCCGCACTTGCCCCTTCTTGAGACCTACTACGATAAGGACCACTGAGCGCACTTGATGGTTGACGAGGGTGCGGTAAGTGATTTACACACAATATTTCCTTTCCATGTATAATGTCTTAACCCCGCTATCGATTCTAACGTTATTTTTTGCAGGCCTTGGTCCCGCTGCGTCCCCTAACTCATCGACCACTTGAGTAGGACGAGCACTACGCCTAGTACTTGCCAAGAGCAGGAGCCAGTTTTCTAGGCTTGGCTACAGCTATCAATGCTGGCCTCCTAGACATGGATGGTCCCCTCATCACCGCCTTCATCTACAAGTGGCATCCGGAGAACCATAGCTTCCACCTACCCACTGGAGAGATGTCCGTGCTCATGCAAGACATTGGCTACATTTGGGCCTTCGCTTGGACGGTCTGGCAGTGATAGGCACGGTACAGCCACACAACTAGAAGGATATGGTGGGGCAGTTTACCGGCCACCGGCCACCCGACCCTGAAGAAGGGAAGAAGGAGAAGAAGACTTCTGGTGTCAGCTCAGCGTGGTTGTGGCAGCGCTTCAACATGTGCCCTCCCCATGCATGGGACGACGACGTTGAGAGGCACGCTCATGTCTGGCTGTGGCACATGGTCGCAAGCTTCCTGTTTCTAGACGCTTCTGGGAACACCGTGTCGTGGATGGTCCTACCGCAGCTATGTGAGCCATGGGAAAACATCGTTCAATATAGTTGGGGGTCTACAACTCTTGCTTGGTTGTATCGGCAGCTATGTGAGGGATTTAGGAGGACCAACCCCAATTCCAATATATGTGGTTGCTCATACTTGCTTCAGATTTGGATTTGGGAGTGCATTCCTATCGGACGGGTGCATAGAGGCAAAGTTGCGGTAAGGACCTTGCATTTATTTGGTATATGTGTTTCATTTTTAAGCATGCACTTTGTGACATCCTTACAATTGTTTCATTTTTCAGGCTTGGACACATGGTGACTGTTGCCCCCCCCATATGGTACCTTTGGAGGGGAATTAAATCAGTTCGGGGTTAGCCACAACGGCACTACATTCAATACTCCAATGATTTGGATGTTTTAACCCCGAATCAGGTTCGTTCTACCATTGAGGCTTCCATTTTTTTCTTCAGAAAGTATGAACAAGGCCATGTACTAAGTAATGCAAGTTACAAGTTGAATGGGATCCATATGACAGGCGAGACGTAACAGGAGTTGAACATGGCCCCATATGTTCAGGCTAATAAGGTGTTGTGGCGATCCAATGTACCGATGATCTTCTACTATGTGGTCAAGCACCACTTGCCCCAAAGAGTGATGAAGCAGTTTGGTAGGAAACAAAATTTCTCTCTACAACACGAGTCGACAACCCGTCAGTTGCATGAGTAAGCCGGACTTTGCATAGATCATGACTCACCATTGCATGCTTTGTACAAGGCCTCAAAATGTAACATGTGTTGTCCTTGCAGGATTTCAAGGTGGAAGAGGTTCAGCGGCAACAACTGGCTTGTGAAGCATCAAAAGTACGTGCAAGAGTGGGAAGCTAGAGAGAGGGTGGAACTAACTAATGGGGCTCACTCTATGAGCAGTGATTACCATGAGTACCTGGCGTGGCTTCACAGGTCCACAAGAATCACAGTGCATCCACCGGTGTCGAGCATTCTAATAGATGAAGAAGGGAACGACGACGAGGACCCGTATGATGTGATGACAAGGATGAGTGTGTAGCCACAGAGAGCCCCACTTGAGAGCTACATGGTAAGCGTTTAAATTGAACTATGCCTTCATGCAGCTTCACTTGAAACGCCACTGTGGCTGGCGCGACAGTCTTGGAAATCAACAAGCTTCAGCCATTACCACCAAGTGTGCTATGTTTTGTGAATTTTTTTGAAATATACGTCCTTAAAATTGAATTTTCTTCATGTTTTTTTCCAAACACCAAATTTTTTGGCCATTTTCTCCAAGTGACGCTATTTTTGTCAAACCATTTCCTAAGTCCATCATTTCATAACTTATTGACATTGTATTTTCTTCATGGTTTCAAAACATTGTTCATGTAGCATTACACACCATTAGGAGTCATACCATAATGAGTTCGAAGCATTGTTCGAAGGTCATCATCATCATCATCACTTACATAAGTGTTCCATGTAGCATATACAAGCACTACTACTAACACTAGTCTTCCATCTACCATGAACAAGTACTACCAACTGGCAACCCTAGGCCATTTGCAAAATATGTACGGATCTTGTTGCCTTTGCACAAAAGAAGCAGCGCTATCGTACCAGTCCTCCATCTACCATATACAAGACCTACGTAATGCCAAACCTATTGGCATTTGCAAAATATGTGTTGCACCTTGTAGGCATCACTTGAGAGGAAACACTACTCATCGTCGTCATGGTCATGTTCATCATCATCGTCATCGTCCTCCTCCATGGGTGCGGGGATATGGCCGTCATTCGGTGCATCAACGGGGACTACAAGAACGAAACAATGTCTCATTGGGAACAATTGTAAGAAGATGCACAAGTCAAAACAAATTTCAAAATCAATTACTCACATAAGCGACGCAAATGCCTATGGAAAAAGGCCATCTCCCTCTTATCCTCGGCCTCCTTAAAGTCGTAGGCCTCCTTGTTTTGTCACCAGATGCTCATCAACTCGGCCTCGTTATTGTAAAAATTAAGCTATCGACCGATCACTCGAGGAAAGTCCTCTAAAATCCTGTTACGGGTCTTTCATGATGGCATCTCTACCCCGTACCTCGTCATCACCTCTATCTGCTTCTCCAACCGCATCCAATGCTTTCTGTCTTTTTCGAGAGGCGAATGTATCTTCAGCCTCTCTATTAACTCTCCACGACCAGGGAAGTCCTCCCAATTGCATGTCCTCCCCACCTAAGCAAACACAAAGCAATAAGCAAATAAACCAGTGGCCTATGTTCATGTAGTAACTTCACCGGTTGAGTCAACTCACCCATAACTCAGACGGCCCTTCCATAAGCATTGCCACAGTAGTATATGTGTCCTAGCTCAGACGGAACAACTCCTTCGCGAGCCTTGATGCCACACTTGCACTTATGGTCCGACATCTTTGTGCATGGCCATGGCTTAATGCCTGCTTGAAACTCCGCAAATTCATACTCAGAAGACCAGTGCGATTTGGGTCCATAGTTGTACTCCTCAAAGTCATAAGATGGGAACCCTCTCTGCAAAAAACAAATGTTCCAAGTGTAACATTGTATGTGCAAAACGCATACAAGCATAGAGATAGATGGATTTCATGAGAACTTACATAATCTGGCAATCCATAGCGATAGAAGGCAGTGAATATTCCACGTTGGTTAGGAGTAGTTAGTAGCGCCGACACTCCACAATGGCATCTAGGAGGATTGGCTAGACGGCGCAAAGCAGCGTCAACCTTCTCCGCCTCTGTCATTTCAGGAGGGTTAGGTGGCGGCGGAACCCAACGAATAAATTCCGAATATGGAATGCTCTTCTAGGGGTCATAAGAAAACAACATAATCGATGGATCAAACATTTCATCGCCGTCGATCCACTGATAGAAGCTGCATCCCTCTAGGTAGGCATTAAGTGTCGGGGGACGACGCTTAAGTTGGCAATAGTAGAAAGCACGCCCAGCTGACGTGGGGTGCCTTGACTGCTTTACAAATGCCGGTAAGCCACAGTAATACAACGGTGTTGGCTCTGCTGGTACGAAAGGACCGATAGCACCATGATCCTTCGGATGGTGCACGAATTGGTTGTTATTTGCATCCGCCATTGAACCTATTACAAAGTAGTTGAACAAAGCAAAGTTATCAAAACATGATATGAAATCCTAGACACAACCTCATGGACTTCAAACCATCTCTGTATATACACAGTCCAACGCATCCATACCTCATGCACTAGACCAAAGGAACCAAAAATCCAAAACCAAACTTGATCAAAGAGAGGTAGAGAATGAGGAGAAAGAGAAGAGAGAGAAAGAGGACACACTGTGAACCTCGCCCTGACTTCTCACATGACCGAGGGAGTGAGGGAAAGACACTAGAGGGAGAAGAAAGCAGATGGGCCGCGCGACCTTATAGCAGGGCGGGGCCCACGGTACACCACGCCAGCATCGATCAACGACAGAGCAGTTTTGCAAATACTTTTTTTGATTAGTATTAAAATATTAATAAAAAAGGATTAAAAATAAAAAAAATTCCGTCTGCCCCACCCCCCGTGGGGTGTCGTGCGCTGGTCTGCTGGCAGGCGACCCCCCTCGTCCCACGGCCCTGCCCCTAATCATCTCCACGTGCATGATGCAACTGCACGTGCCGTCGTTCTTCCAAGTTCCAAGTAATTTTCTCTTGGCTCTCAGGTATGGATCGAGATCAAACGTCGAGGAGCAGTCGACGACGACGGGCCTGTTCGCTTGGAGAAATTCTTGAAGAATTTGGATGGTTTGGAGAAATGCTGGAGGAATTTGTGAGAGAAAAATACTGTTCCGGATAAAAAAAACGAATCAAGCCGGGTTAAAGGGCACGTGAGCGAGCCGACGTCTCGTCGCCGTACGTAATTGCCTATGCCAGGCTAGCTACTACTGTACTAGTAGTAGTATCAGAATGGTCGTACTTGGATTGGATGGGATAGGCTATGATCATTGATCGATCGATCGATCTGACAGACAGAACGCAGGCCGTCGTGCACGCCGTGCATGAGTGCTAGCCGCATGCAGTGAGCACCGCAGTGAGCTGTTGCCTGTGCGTTTTGCTGATCGATCGAACAACGGGCAGGGCGGTTAGGTGCGGCACATGCATGATGGCTACTAGCTACTAGTCATTGGTCAAGGTGACGTGATCAGTACGGGCGCGTTTGGTTCACTGCCCACCGGAGCCAGGCTCGTCGCAGGAACCAGGCTCTCTACGCCCAGGCCGAACACATGCAAGGTTCCTGCGTTTGGTTGCTTGCGTCAGTTCAAACAGACTGTAGACAAGCCGCGCGCAGCCTCTCCGCGTTCACCTCGAGCACGGAGCGAGCCAGGCTGAAAAAAAAGGCCGATTTGCGTTCCTCGCAAGCCATGTCAGGAGTGGGCTTTTGCACGAGCGGAGCCAGGTTGGTCAGGGAATCAAACATGAACAGGCTGCATCCCGGGAGCCTGGTTTGCCATTATGCGAGCAACTAAACACACCCTACGTGACTCTGCGTGGTCACCGTTCATTCTTCTTTTGTTTTGACAATAATAAAGACAATGTCCCGAGCATCTTCTACCTAAGCCTATTGTCTTAGGAGGTCTATGGCAGATATAAGGCAAACGAACACAAGATCTGTCCATCTGATGCAGCTGCACGTCAAAACTAAACAACACAAGCTATGTTGTTCGGCTGATGGTTTCTACGGCTAATAAGCTAGCTGGTGCTGATTTGTTATGAGAGAAAAATATTGTACCATAACTAATAAGCCGAGTTGATAAGATCAACATGTCCAGCCAGTGTTGATACAGTTACAGCCACTCTAGTTTAGGCAAACAAATATACGCGCCTTGGATTCCTGGAGGTGATATCAGGCGGTTGCCCAAGATCGACTTGGAGAGCCACAGCGGCGAGGAGCTAGCCTACGACTACGACGTCGCTTGTAAGGTGGAATTCAAAAACGTGGAGTTGTACTAGGGACCCGTGACCCCGTGAGGCGGCAATGACGACCCGAGAAGCCCATCTTGCCGAGCCTCAGCCTGCACGTGCCGCATGCCAGCATGTCACATGGTGTGTGTGCCCAATTTTTTACAATTTGATCTTTTTTTGAAGAAATTTACGTTTGGCCCTCTGGAAGACGTAAACCAATCTTTGGACCCTGGGGGTCGGCACCAGGACTCATGGCTCCGAGGTAACACGTCTCAGCGCCACGGATCTTGGCTTTGAGGTGTCTGGCCGTGCACAACAGGGCATTCTAGGTGGCGTTGACGTGGCCGGTAGCTCGGAGTGGCTCCGAGCTCGGAGCCGTGGATCTCGGCCTGGCGCCGAGCATGGATTTAAAACCCACGTCCAAGTTCAGAACAGTTAAACAAGTGAGGAGAGGATGAGATCGATACATGGGCTTGGGCTTGGGCTTGGACGGCGGGGGCGTGGAAGGCGTCGAGCGCGGAGGCGGCCGCGCAAGCAGCGGCCAGGAGGACGCCGGCCGTTGTCGCCGCGGCCAACAGGCGCTGCGTCCAACTGTGCATCGCTTTCAACCCACCTTTTCCCCTCTTTTCCGAACTATTATTATGTTTATTAATGTTTTTCCTCGAATTTTTATCTGGGTCTGTTTATGGCGTGATGACGCCACACGTGTCAGTGTGTGGGCTCTGGCAACAGTTCGATTGGAAATAGATGGCTGGCCAAGGGTTGTGATGTACAGAGGTTCTACAACTGCCGTTGTAAAGCACGGAGTAGGCATTACCCGTGTAGGAGTTGGCACTGAGGCTCTGTTTAGTTTCCAAATTTTTTTTTTTTTGCCTCATATAGTAAAAGAGCATGTTTGAACACATGTATGGAGTACTAAATGTAGACGAAAAAAAAGCTAATTACATAGTTCTCGGCAAAATCGCGAGACGAATCTTTTAAGCCTAATTAGTCCATGAAAAGCCTTAAGTGCTACAGTAACCCATGTGCTGCTAATGACCGATTAATTAATATCATTAGATTCGTCTCGCAGTTTCCTGATGGGTTCTGTAATTTGTTTTTTATTAGTATGCAATCCTTGCAACACATCCGATGTGACAGTCAAAAATTTTCACCACCCCAACTAAACACACCCTAATACGTTGATTTCCCTTCCTGATCTTCTGAAATGGTCTTCCGCGATGGCATTCCCAAGATGTTGGGGGCCTGGGAACGGGAGTGGTCTCGGTGACTTGCGAGTGGTCCTTGTGATGTGATGCGACATGAAAACTGAAGTACTGTATTATAGTACAGTGCCATATTGAAAAGTCAGCTCTCCGATAGAATTCTGCATCTCCTGTCTCCTTGTTTACAGGTACCCTATCAAATGTCAACGCATTCGTGGAAATCAAGCTTAAAAAGTCGGCCTGGTGTCGAGAACATTGCGCCGTGCTCCAACGGGAAATTTCCCTATCAGCGTACCAGCAGCACGATAGGAGTATACTATCGCACTAGGGCCTAGGGGCTAGGCCATACGCCGGCATCTGATGCACAATCTTTTTCTTTCCGAGTCCGTACGGGACGGGCCACGGCAGACGGTCCTCAACATCTTCAGTAGCACAACAGAATCTCTTCTCAGTGGCCTAAATCCGGCAAGCGTACTCTTTTGTCAAATCTGAATCCATCCCCCCTCAAAAGAAAGAAAATACTCCAAGAAGGAAGAAGATCGATCCATCCTCCTCACTGATATCTCCCTCCCTCCCAAAGCTGCAAAAAAGAGGGGATAAACATCGAGAAATATCACCGATAGTGCAGCGTGGCAGCGTTAGTGCTGATCTTTTCAGAAGCTTATCACATGAGTGAAAGCAAAGCAAACCACCTACTACACATGACAGGCACAGCGGGTCAAAGACGGAGGAGATTCATGACGGAACCAGACAGCCATGAATGATTGATTCCACACCACAACTCCACAAGCACAACGCACACGCTGTAAAATAACGCCAATAATGCAGGCAGCCGGCAGGCCTCCTCTCGTCGTCCCGTCCTCCCAACCATCATCGTCCAACTTGGCTGGCCACGACGGGCGGGCCTCCGGTCTTTTGACCCCGGGGTCGGGGTTACAGCGTCAGCGTCTCAGCGAGAGCGAGCGAGGTGGTCAGTGCTCACTGTCACTGGCTCAGCCGATCCGCTCAGCTGCCCACGTGGTTGCGTGGGTGAGAGCGACCGACACTGAGCCCGGCGCTGCAGACAGCGGCCTCCCCGGGAAAACGTTGAGAAACCGGGCGGAGCCATGGATCTCATCCTCTCCTCGCTTGTTTTAGGGGTGTTTAGTTGCCACCAAATTCCAAACTTTGGCATTATGCAAAAAGAAGATTTTCCGTCACACCAAACTTACGGTACATGCATGGAGTACTAAACGTTGACGAAATTAAAAACTAATTGCACAATTTAGTTGTACTTTGCGAAACGAACGTTTTGAGCCTAATTAGTCAACGATTGAACAATTATTACCAAATACAAACAAAATGCTACTCATTCGGCGGCGCCGATTCAAGCAAACTAAACGAGGCCTAAGTGGGTTTTGAATTTCGCTCGGCGCCAGGATTCATGCCTCCGAGCTCGGAGTCGAGATTCATGGCTCTGAGCTCGGCGTCAAGATTTGTGGCTCCAAGGTACCGGCCACGTTAACGCCACCTAGGATGTCCTGCTGTGCACGGTCAGGCATCTCGGAGCCAAGATCTGTGACGTCGAGACGTGTTACCTCGGAGCCATGAGTCCTGGCACCGACCCCAGGGTCCAAAGATGAGTTTACGTCTCCCAAGAGGCCGAGCGTAATTTTTTTTAAAAAATGACCAAATTATAAAAAATTGGTGTGCGTGGGTGGCACAGGGAACGTTAGGTACTCCTTGTACATCAATGTGTACGTCATAAAAAAGAAAAGTGATTTCCTAAAAATAGTATAACACCAGCTGGTAGTTACGTAGGACGCAAGTGGGAAACACATCCTCCTTTCGGTTGTAGGGAGGATACGTTCTGTGATCTCTGAGATGGCGGATGTCTACGAGAGCGTGCTCGCGCTGTCGAAGTCGGGCACAGTCCCGCCGGACTTCGTGCGTTCGGCGCAAGACCAGCCTGGCCCCAACGCGTTCCGCGGGGACTCTGCGCCGCCGGAGGCCCCGCTGCCGGTGATTGACATGTCAAGGCCGGAGTGCGGCGCGCTCATGGCGGACGCGGCCACGGAGTGGGGGCTCTTCCAGGTGGTCAACCATGGCGTGCCCGCCGCGGTGGTGTCGGAGCTGCAGCGGGTGGGGCGTAGCTTCTTCGCGTTGCCGCGGGAGGAGAAGGAGCAGCACTGCACGGGGTCCGGGTCCTCCGTGTACCTCGCTACCGGAAGCATCGAAGGCTACGGCGTCGGCATCACGGGTCCGAGAGGGTCATCTAGGGATTTGGAGGGCAAGAAGAACTGGGAGGACTACTTGTTCCACTACGTGGCGCCGCCCACCGTCGTCAACCACGACATCTGGCCCAAGAACCCCGCCGGCTACAGGTACATACATGTATATACTGTACGTGCTCAGTCGTTAGCTATTTGTTTCCCATGAAGAAGAATCTTTTTTTTTTTTGAAACTCCCATGAAGAAGGAATCGGCAGCATGCATGCATGTGACATGTCATGTGTGTGTGTTCGCTCGCAGGGAGGCCAACGAGGAGTACTGCAGGCACATACAGCGGCTGACGCGCGAGCTGTTCGGGCACCTCTCGCTGGGCCTCGGCTTGGAGAAGAACGCCATGAGTGAGGCCTTCGGTGGAGACCAACTGGTGCTGCTGCAGAAGATTAGCTACTACCCGCCATGCCCGCAGCCGGAGGTCACCCTCGGCATTGCGCCGCACACCGACATGTGCGCGGTCACCGTCCTGCTGCCCAACGACGTCGAGGGGCTCCAGATCTTCAAGGACGGCCGCTGGCACGACGTCAAGCACGTGCCCGAGGCACTCATAATCTTCATGGGCGATCAGATCGAGGCAAGCGCTCTGTTAATCACTTCCACGCCTGCTAATACGGCGTCCTTATTCCGTCCATTTGTCAATACATTATATAGAGATTTTGAGCAACGGGAGATTATAAGTATGTAGATTTTGAGCAACGGGAGGTACAAGGCCGCGAAGCACCGTGTGACGGTGAACAAGGAGAAGACCCGGATGTCGTGGCCGACGTTCGTGGAGCCGCCGGGGGAGCTCGTCGTCGGGCCGCACCAGCAGCTCGCCGCCGCCGACAGCCCAGCCAAGTACAAGCCTAAGAAGTACAAGGACTACCAGTTCTGCAAGAGCAACATGCTTCCGCAGTAGGCTACCAGTCAGCCGTCATATCTCCATCGACATGCTCCCCGTGTGAGGGCCTACGCACTCGATCGTTTTTATATTTATTAGTAGATAGATATAAATAATTGCCTGCGCGTTGCAAGATGCAATGAGAGCAACAAAAATTATACGAGATATTTTGTAGCCAGGTCAAAATCAAGGCCATGATAATTTTATTTTACACGCATGTTGTATATGACAATGACCAAATATGATCATGTTAGCCAATGTCTCATGGTCTTTGTCCTTGGTTTCAATTCATTCCATACATGATAGGCTGTTAGAATTGGCCAACTCACTATGGTGCAACCATGCATGTATATCGAGTGTTGTATTCCTAATCCGGTGCATGGCGTTATGTACGTAGTGGTTGGATATGTCCTGATAAATTTGAACTTTATTTATAAGGTTGTATTCACACGTTTTTATAGCAGCTTTTCAGCAATATTTATGTTGCCAGGTTTACTTTCAATGTAATCTTCTCATACAATCAACACTACTACACAAATGATTTTACGAGGTGGTGCCATTTTATTAACCGAGGCGGTGGACCTTGTTTAATAAAATTCAAGTAGGGGGTCAAACCCCTCTTGTTTCATCAACAAAATGCCTGGGATTAACAGAGGCCGACGACGACCGAGGAGCACAGGGCGAGCGGCCACCACCAGATCTGGCGAGGGGGAGCCCAGATACGGCGAGGAGGAGCCCGAATCCAGCGAACTCTTGCGGCAACGTGGCTCGGTGGCGGCGCAGATCCGGCTAGCAGAGTGGCAGCACGTGGATGGGTTCGCTGGGCTTGTCCACTGGTTTTCTTATTTTTTTTTGTTTTTATGTGATTTACCGAGGCGGGCATTTGAACTGCCTCGGAAAAGATTCATTTTCTGTGACCTTTGGTCCGAGGCGGTTGCGATGCCCGCCTCATTTTAGTTTTAGGTAGTAGTGCAAAATCTTAAGACATGGTGTTATATATTATTTTGTTTATCACAAAAATAATATAAAATATGTTTGGATTGAAATCATTTGACGAAGTAAGTCAAATATATGTTGTTTCTATAGTAGGCTTAGGCCCACCAAGGGAAGTCCAGATAATCGACATGGACCGAACCTGTGGGAGGATACATGAGTTTTGTTCCGTAGTGGGCTTTTTCTTTTTTGAGATTGTTTCCGTAGTGGGCTTAGGCCTACAACTAAGATGCTATAGAGTCGTCAGACAACAAGAAATGCCCATGAAGCCATCAAACCATAAGAATGACACAAGGTAAAACAGTACAAGAGAATACATGCTCCGTATATGAAGGTCGTAGTGCTAGTCAAATATAAGATCAAGACATATAGCAAGCAAATTGCTAATGATGCAACACCTATGTGTTTCCACAAAATCCGATGAAACCATACCTTCGATAGCAAGATACATGCACTGCACGCACTCGCGCGCGCCTTGGATCGCCATCATCAACAACGACGACGATGCACATGCACGCACACACCATGCATACGGCAATCAGAGAATAGCACGCGACACGCGCGCTAGCTGCATGCATGAGCTCCGATCCGATTCCCAGCCAGTCCCGGACTGTCCCAACAACTGCGCAGGCGGGCGCGCGGCGGCAGCCAATTAGGGCGCAGCAAATGCAGAACAAACAGGGCGCGATCGACAAGCTGGCAGGAGAGACTGCATGCAGATCGAGAGTGATCATGCGTCGCAGCTAGCGTACGTGTCCGGGTCCGGCACGCAGCACGGACGATGATGGAAGAAGCTCCGATCCGGATCGAGGGCCCCCTTGCATTGCATACGGATGCAATGCAAGTTGCGCGCTGCTGCCGCGCGCGCCGGTGGATCGATCAATGCACGCTGCTGCCGTACGCACGTAGCATACAGTTATTTCTGCATGCATGCATGCCTCCAGCTCGACCGATCCGGCCGGCCGGCATCTGCATGCGCTAGGTGCGGCCATTGAGACGAAAAAGCGCCGGCAATCCGTGATTACGGAACCGGAGCGTAATGGCAAAGGTGTGCTGCGTGCATGCATTGGACGATAGGCATCGATGGACACGAAGCTAGCAAAAGGCCGAGACGACAGTTAGGGCCCGTTTGGCACGGCTTTTACTCGTAAAAAAACAGCTCTGGCTCTGGCTCATATGGAAAAACAGTTTTTTCTGGTTCTAACTTATTTGTACGAAAACGTTTGGCAAAACGGCTTCTTCTAGTTGTAAACAAGATGTCAAATGTCCAAAATACCCTTATATTTTTTTCTCTATTTTCTTTTTTCTCTTCCTTTTTCTTTTCTTTTTCTTTCTTTTTTTCTTTTTCTTTCCTTCTCCCCTTCTTTTCTTCTCCTTATCTGAACGGCCACACTCCTCTCCTCCTTATCCTGTCACCCACTCCCTCCCTCCCCTCCCTCCCCTCTCTCTCTCTCTCTCTCTCTCTCTCTCGGGCGTAGCTCCTCGGCCCTTGATGCGTCTTGCTGACCGCTTCTTCCGGGCCGGTTCCTCTCCATGGGCCTCCGCCCTTCTCAAATCCACCTCCTTCACGGCCGTGGCACCAAGATCTGTGGGTCCACTGGGCGCCCAGGCTGCCATGGCCCGTGTGCTCCTCCTCCACGGCTTGGCGCCTCGGCGACGTGGCGGTGGGCCCAGACCTCCATGACCTCCTCGCGGCGGCCTCGACCCCATCGTCCTGGACCTCCTCTTCTTGGCGCCTCCTCGTCCCACGGTCCCCGACCGTCCGACACCTTCCAGGCCGAGGGGCCGACAACAGGTGGAGCGGGCTGGAGCCGAGCTCGAGGTCAAGGCCAGCGGTGAGGAGATCGAGCCATGTGGGCGGAGCTCGAGGCCGCGTGGCGGCCAGCCGTCAGCAAGGCGTCGGGGAGGAGAGAGCAAGTCGGGACAGGGATGGAAAGTGACGAGCTCGAGCCGAATAAAGCCAAGATTTTTGGCTTCTCGCGTGGGGAGGAACCGAGTCACCGGGTTTTATGGGGCTTTGCCGCTTCTTGCCATAAAGCCGTTTTGCTGTGGCCGTTTAAGGTGGCTTCGCCCGGTCAGCTGCAAAAAAGCCCTACCAAAGGGGGGCTTAGACAGAGGATCGAGGAGGAGGTGAAAGAAAAGAAAACAAAGAAAGCCAGCGGTGTGTGGTGCGTGCATGTGGCGGATCATGGCTTGGCGGGGACCAAACCAACAAGGGAGGATGATGGATATATAGGCCTCGTTTAGTTCCGTGAATTTTGGGAATCTAACTATTGTAGCACTTTCATTTTTATTTGGCAATTAATGTTCAATCATGGACTAATTAGGCTCAAAACGTTCGTCTCGTGATTTCCCACCAAACTGTGTAATTAGTTTTTTTCGTCTACATTTAATGCTCCATGCACGTATCGTAAGATTCGATGTGATAGCTACTGTAGCACTTTTTTGAGAATTTGGTTGGGAACTAAACAAGGCCATATTGGGGAAATGGAGCTGCATATATTTAGTAATGCTACTGACTAAAATGCATGTGAACTGTATTAGTGTATATAGCGTTACATCTTCGATCGTAGGTACAAACATACATGATCACCACTACGCCAGATTCTCGCACTAGAAACGGAGACATTTTTATTGTAGGGGCGGCTGGGGTTGGGGGCGCCCCTACAGTGGGCGTCCTCGGGCCCAGTACCCCTCTGAGATGGCAATCTTGTGAGGGGGTTTGGTAACCGAGCCGCCTTACAGCTTGGGGCCGATCTGTGAGGCGGCTCAATCACCACCGTCCTCAGGAAGCCCATTTGTAGAGGGCGCGCCACCACCACCGCCCTATTGCTCGACTATAGGGGTGGTTGAATCACCAGCCGCCCCTACTGATGGCGCACGAATAAATAGCAGCCACCTCCTTCTTCCACTTTGGGACACACTCTTCTACACAAAAAAAAGATTAGGAGGCCTTAGACTCCTCCAAAAAATTGCTATACTAAGGGGGAGGTTTTGATCTCAAATTCTTTGATGGAGAGGCTCTAAAAGGTAAGAAAATGCTTCTCCAACTCTTTATTTGAAGTTTAATTCGTTGGTTAGTGAGTAATTTGATTTTTGGTTTTCTCTCTCTTCCATGGAGCTTGAGCCAGATATGAGTGAAATTGGACCCTGATTTTCACTATACAATGGTAAATTAGGTAGCGAAGTAAGATTGCACCTTTTGTTACTACATCTTTATTGATTTTAGTGTAGTATTAGTGAAGTTTGGTGCATGTGTCATGAAACCCTATATCTAGATCTAGATCTAGGATTTTGTTTTTTTTTCTTTTTCAATTTTTTCTTTATGTGTGACTAGGGTTTGCATGTAGGTGAATGTGTAAGATTTTAATTGCTGCTAATGTGTAAAATATCCTCTATCATGGCTACTAATTTCCATTTAATATTTATTTTGATTCCTTTCTATAATGTGTGTTTTTAATTAGTTATGGATAAATAGGCCATTAATTAATTATTCTCTACCATGAAATTGGAATGGAGTTTGCATGAAAGGTAGTGGATGAAATATTAAATGTTTCTAATTGTTTTATTTGAAATTGTTTATTTGAATTAATTAATTTATATTTTAAAATATTTATGCATTAATAGTAAATTAATTAACTATCCTCTACTACCATGGTGCATGTCTCACGTATACACAATTATTCTCGAGTAATATTCTTTCTTTGGTTGTTAGTATGAGAGAGAACAACTAGTTACAAAGTTTACCCACAGATTAAAAAGAGAAATCACACTATTATAGAAGATCCTTACATGATCATAGTGAACAGTGTGATTTTTTTTTAATCTGTGGGTCAACTTTGTAACTAATTTTTCTTCCTCATACTAACTCCAAATCTGATGATTTTTTTCCTAAAATTTTCTAAAATTATTCTCTATCAATTTATTTTGTTGGTTTTGTCAATATATACATATGAAAAGTTTGAGCAATTTAAATTTTGAATTTCAAAAAAATGCAGCTTCAGACAAGATTTTGTTTCCCCAAA